GCCCCCCCCCCCCCCCCAAGTGGATTGCGGTTTTTACACACACCACCCGCCCCGCCGCCTTGTGGGTCAGGCTTTGGCTAACCGATATCTCCGGTTGTGAACTCCCCAAGAAAATCCACTCGTTTTGGCTTGGACAACCTAGCAGTAGCATACCCTCGAGTAAATCATGTATCTTTCTCTTTTTGGAGGCTACCTCTTTGGACGGAGTCAAATGTCCAAGGTACCCAAAACACGTCGATATTGAATAGAGCCGTTGACCACTGCCACAACCAGAAAGGTGTGTGTAGATCGCAAGATTCTTCTTGGTTGGTCTGGAATCAGGGGTTTTAGCTAACTGAGGCTACCTCGGAGGCGTTAGCTGCATCCGAATAAATGGGTGGAAGATATATTGTTGGTATGCATCATTAATTGACAATGATAGCGAGCTATCTGTAGCCTTTTTAGGCCCAGCCCCACATTGATGCAGTAATATGTCCTCTACACAGCGAATACTAGTGTGTTGCGTGTTTCTCTGCCAGCGGCTTAACCACGTTCACGTGTTTGTTTTTGTTACCCTTATAACAAATGTGATTTTATGCCTGCCAAGTCCCGGGTTTGATCCCCTGTCGGTTCGATGAAACCCAACCCGATCGAAACAGTTGTGCTTCCTAGCTTTTCATTTCACGTTTCATTTGCTCTAAACACGACGATTTCCCACAATGAGATTGTATAATTAGTTGTTTTTATCTTCCCTTCGTTGGTAGATGATATCTGAACAAATGATGCAATCCCGCTTGTGACAAAATGAGCTAGTCCGATTGGCAATAATTTGTGCTCATTACTATTTAATTATGTACCGTTTCATTCATCACATTCTACGATAAGGAACAACAAAATTTCGAGGACTTGTCAAAAGTTTGTTCTGTTTTCGTGCCATCCACAACTTGACCTGATCATACAGGTGAGGGGACTTCCGAGTTAGCCTAGACGGTATGGTTAACCACATTGGTTAATAATAATAATAATAATAATTTAGAACGGTCGCGCCTGTGCATCTATCCGATAGTGCGTGTCCTTATCTTGGTCTCACTCACTTTTTGTCTCTGTTCGGCTTAGTTCTTTTTTCCCCCTCCTGCTGGACTAAATGTGGTATCAAAAAATAGCAACCAAAACGGGTACACTAAAGTACAGGTTTCCTGGTTGTACAAACTGAACGGAATTCTATGGTCAGCGATAATCAGTAGTAGTTTTTGTCACTATACCTTTTTCAAGTCGAGTTGTCCCAATATCATATCAAGATGTTCTCGGATTATTTCAAGTTGTCGCATTGATCTCATCGGTGCTGAAATGATTCCCGGACATCTTGAAATAATTCGGGGGACATTTTGAAACGATACTGGGACAACTTAGAATAATCGCCAGACATCTTGAAATAGTGATCAGTCAACTTGAAATGATTCCCGGACATCTTGATATGATACTGGGACAACTTGACTTGCAAAAGGTATAGTGACAAAAACCACTACTGGTTATCGATAATCAGTAGTGGTTTTATCATTAATGTGGACCTAACTGTTTTGCTCCCCTATTCTGCACCGAGACACTGAGTGTGATATGGCTGGGTGTCGCAAACAGTGGCGTTCGTGCATCCTCTCAATTTTTTTACAACCTTAGACCACTGAACTATGTCATTTTCTGTTCGACTCCACTTTCAACTTTCCTGTTCTTCTCCTATTCTTCATCCAAATGGGCAGCCAAAAGACAGCAACCAAAACTGGCGCACGAATATGCATGGCTAGTGATTGTACAAACTGAGAAAAAAAAAACCTATTCTGCACTGTTCTATCATGCCAGGCTTCATTCAACGCCCCCTTCCCCTCAGCCTTATGCTCATGTCTTTAAACCCTAAATCAATTAAACCGTGCCCCACTTTTTCCCGCCCTCCCCCCGTTCACCCTCGTGCGGCCAATTTGTTTCAGACTCTTGTTGATCACTTTGAAAAATACATTTCATCCAAGTTGGGATACAATTGCCGGTCTCTTGGCCAAACGATACGGTTACGGTAAACGACTTCCATTGGAACCGTACATTTTTGGCACATTCGCCCAGATCCCCGTCTCCCCGAAACTCACACCAACACACGAGCTCAGTCGAACCGAATCTGTCCGGACTACACCTTCCCGGATCACTCCACGTGATTCTGTGGATGCCGCGGATCGTGCTGCATACGGTTCGCATATCTCTATCTCCAGTGTGATTGAGGGCACCGAGCCCACCGAACAGACTGCCCAATTTATGTCTCGTATGGGTCAACTGTTCACAGTGAGCGGTCGTCTATTGCGTGGCGTTCCTCCGTCTCCGACACTCCAAGGCCCAGAAGACAGTACCCTGAACACGATTCGTTTAAATCCGTCCCGAGACAGTCCGTTGTCCATGGTCAATCTTCGTACCGGTCCATCGCACGTGGCTATCGACTTGCGACGACGGCGACGTCATACCCAGACCATTCATCATACACACACGCCCAGACATTTGCGTCATTTAGGCTTGGGTTCCTCGAACAATTTCGATGATGATGCTGGGAGACCTGTGAATCCGGTGATTTGGCCCGCGGTCAATCCGAACGTACGAGTGCATTCGTTCAGCTCCCGACACTACTCGACTTCTCGATCACGACCGGATATGATGGGTAAGTTCTGGTAGCTATTTGATCGAGGGCCCCATGAAGAACCCATATAAAATGTATAGAGTATCAAGCTTGGATTAGTCCATTCGATTATTCAGAGGCACCAGGGACTCTTGATGAAGACCATATAGAATGTATTTTCCCCAAAAATATGTGCATCGGAATGTCCGGGTCACAAAAATAGTCCCGTTCTAAACGGATCAAGTTGATGTGTTACTGGAGTTCAAATCAATCAATAAAATTACCAATGATCATGATTGGTTATTGGTTAGACTTAGCCCGGCCGTGACGCAGAAGTACATACGCTGTTGGTTGAGAAATAAGGACCCCTCACTCTTTCTCTCTGTCCGTTCCAAGCGAGCCCAATTAACACTGTTCGTGAATACTGAACACTATGATGACGTCAAGGGAATGACATACTGGCTTGTCCTTTGAAAGGGCATAAAATTGAAAACACAACAACAACAAAAGCCGATTTCCAACCCGGGTGTCCGACTGGCGACTAGCGCACACACACACGCTTACACATATCTATACAAACGTGGCCAGAAAAATAACCTGTTCAATTATGTGATCAATCCTGGTGTAATCAAATCGCTCACGTAACGGATCGGAGTAAGCAGATGAACTTGGTGATACTGGGTGAATGAGCATTATTCATTCCTATCTGAATCATTCAAAAGGGAGAGTCGAATATCTGCAAACACTGAGTGACCGGCACATAATGATTCCCGACGCATCCGGCAAAGCGTTCGTTCGACTGTGTGGTGTTATCCGCGCAGACTGTACAGATTAAATACGTTTTGTTCCAGACCAAGTTCACTGCGTGAGAATAGATTGAGCAATTGTTTAAAATCTTATCAATCATGTGATAAACGGGGGGAAATCTGGACGAAAATCTCGCCTTTTCTTGGTGACTTCGGGTTAAATGTTCGACTAAAGCTGAACTTGCTTTCGGATCTGAATTTTTATTAGATTATATATATATTCAACACGTAACTATTTACGCAGAACTGGCAAGTGTGCCAAAACATATAAAGAAGAAAAATTATAGAATGTGTTCAAAGGTTGTGTGGGCACAGTACTTCCCCGTTTTTCTGGCCGAANNNNCGAGCCGGTGACCACTGCCTCGATCAGGAAGGAGTGTGTGTGTGTGTGGGGGGGGGGGTTCGTACACCTCTTCTTGCTTGAATGTGATTGGTATGCCTCAGTTTAATATGCGTTCATATTGGATTTGAAGCCAATTCGTTTCATCCGCACTTGTAGTGATTGATGACTAGCTTGTCATCTGCTTGAAGTCGAACTGGGTTCCGCGTGAAATGAATCTGATAGATCATTATGCAGTCATAGTGTCCTCAATCACCAGACCTGTGTGTTTGGCAGTTGTTGTTGTTGTCAAATCAATCGCGATAAATCATTCGGACTAATCTGTTTGGCCACGGAGCTCGCAGTCAGTCTGACATGCGGAGACGAGATTGCAATCAACCAATGAGGATTTAGCGTGTACCAACAGAGAAGACTTTATGTGATATTGACTCTATCCTGGTTATGTGTTAGATGGATTCACTTCCCCCCACTATTAGAACTCAGTTGTTAAAACTGAAATTGTATGTGATTTTGCACATTCATGCTTTGATGGAACAGATTTTTTTGCATGTAAATCAGATACGAATTGGAAAACGAATAGCAGAAGCAATAATAATAATGCCTTTTTTTTGTGTGTGTTTCTCTGACGATTCGCAACTCCAACAAGTTTAGAGCGTTTTCCCCCGATTCATCCCCCTTCACTTGTGTCACATGATTTTCTTCTAATCCCCACCTATATGCATTTCCCAAACTGAATCAACTACCGAGGGCAAGCAAGATTCGGGGAACGTGGATTTCTTTTTTTCCCCCATCTTCATCAGAAATTATGATCCCCGTATAAACTGTAGAGAAACCTGAATCAGTAGTTCCCTTACCTCTTACCGTCTTACTTGATAACCGGCTGTGGGAATGATGATTGATTCGTGTGGTTAGCTGTTATCACTCACCTTCTCCTTCACACACACCCCGCCCGCCCGCCTCCCATTGTTTGTTTCTTCTGCTTCATATCGTTGATAAAGATCCGGACTTGTTCAGTTTGATCCAGTCCGACTGATCCCCGGACACAGGTAATCGTAACCCCGCTTTTACTAATGATTTGTGTCCGTGTTCCCGACTGTATGCTCTGCATATGTGTGCTCATTTCTGTTGGCCTGCCTACTCTCTGCACTCCGCTCCAGCTCCACCCCACTCTAATACATCCTAATGGCTATTCCTTATTTGTTTGTTCGCTTATATCTGTGCATTCATCATTGTGAGCCCCTCTCTCCTTTCCTTATCCGGTTCATACGTTTCTCTGTGTGTGATAGTTGTTGCCCCGTCGTCAGGGCTAAATGTTAACCAAATAGACTTTGGGTTGGTTCCTTCATTGCATAGTTCGGAGACAATTGTGTCGTTGTTGTTTTTTATTGCACGCATTTTGTGTGATGATGAGCAGCAGACGGGGTCGACCCCCATAATCATGAGGACCTACTCGGTTCCATGCTCGAACCTGGCAACCTGGAGTGGCGAACCACATAAGGCCTTCATAGATTAAGCGTGGTATTGGACCGGAGGACAGCAGAGTTGTCTACCACCAAAGTTGGGTGGTAGCCGGTGACCGCGACTAAATCACTGCGCCACCACTGTGTGTCTCCTCTGTTTCCAAAACTTAGTCAGACATACATGTCTGTCTGGGTTCCGTATTCAATTGCTAGACAAGGTCTGGTTCATTATGAAATCGTATTGTGCACGCTTACACATGCCAGTCGAGGATTGGTGTTCCAAATCCAAAATACCGAAACCCGAGAATGGAGAGTGTGTGTGGGGGGGGGGATGAGCGATTGGCCTTGAATCAAGATTCACCGATGGTGGAATTATCACCTCAGTACTGGTGCGTGTAATGCTCAGTTAGATTTCCCTACCTCCCCCCGTCTCGAAGAAGAAACAACCTTATCATTCAATAAGCAACAAGTAGCTCAGCTAGTAGAGCATGCTCTATACAAAATGCGTAGGCGGCGTCCATGCGTGGGTTCGAATCCTACCGAGAGGCTACACTGAATTTTTCACAATCTCAATACAAGTAGGATAAATTCGGACATCGGTAGTCCTAATTGCAGGTGCAACCAGTCCTCTTGCTGATAGCAGTGCACTCGAGACCGGTTTGCCAATCGGTACGAATGCGTTTTCCGCGTTTACACAGTATTTGTGCCGTTTCTTGGCTAGTGACTAGTGACACTTCAAACAACGCAGTGTGACGTTTCGTCACCATATTCTTAATTTTTTTTCACCATGTGGGTAAAGTAAGCATAATGAGCCCTGCCGGTCGATAATTTCCAGAATGTCCCAGGGGAGTGGTCGTGGTGTTCGGCACGCTTTGGTCTTCTCGATTAGTGTGCTCAGTCCGTGTCCGTAGACCACAAATGATCCCTCGGGTTTTACGCAGAAAATCTAACTAGCCCACTTGTTTGACAGTAATGCAACTATACTTTGCGTGATGTGCTTCGTTCGGGAACCGTAGAAAATCTCCCGTCTGTTGTGGGCGCACGGATCTCAGTTTCCTACTTGGCCTTGTGTTTTGGCGGTTTGTTTCTCGGTAGTAGTAATAGTAGTAGTAGTAGTAGTAGCATTCTGCAATGGAAAATTAGGCGACTTTACCGGCAATAATCACCACAGTTTTGCTATTTTTTTGCCTCGGTGCTATTTAGATTTCGGTTACTGTTTTTTTCTTTTTGTAGACAAAATTTGATGTTTATATCATCAAACGTGTATAATCGCAATCGTTTTTGACTCCCGTGACAGTTAAGTGTCTTGATGTCGTATGACTAATTCATCCCGTCCGTCCGTTTGGCTCCATCTGTCTGTTTTCTTGCAGAGATTATACACCATAATCAAGCCTCCAGTCTGCCTTTGAATACTACAAATGTCGAGCATGCTTTCCGCCCAAATCCGTACCCCTCATCGGACGCGTATACTCCGCCATCCGGATGGGCTGAACAGTCGTATCGAGCACAGTGGTTTTACACGCCCGAGCACCCGGTGCTTGATCGGGGCTTGTTCGATCCACCTCCACCGTACAGTCTGGATGATTTGCCTGATCCACAGGAACGCTCCCGTCCGTCGGACACGAGCTACCGGGCACAACAGAGTCGGGTTGTCGACGCACGTGGACACTCATCAACATCGCCTTCACCCTCATCCTCCTCGGATACGGGAGCTCGGTAGCTTTCCGTGCCTTATTCAATGTGCTGTCTCTCTCTCTCTCTATCATGCATGTCTCCTCAAAACTAGTCTGACTGCACACTGTTGCCTTGTGTTCTCTGTCTACTTATTGTTGTGGCCCAATATTTTCTCAGATTTCTCCCGACATCAGCCTCAGCCTCATCATCATCATCATCATTCACATCGTGGTCCTTTTCATCTCTGGCTCGCTCTCCTATTCGAACATGTCTATCGTGTTGCGTCACACACGCATATGTCTCAGAGAACTAATCTATCTCTATGCAAGTCAATTCCTGACCGGGGCTTGCATGCCCGGGTTTTATGCTCTATTTTTATGAACCTCATTCTGTCTGTCTATCTCTCTCTCTCGCTCGCTTGCTCTGGCCCCGTTTCGTCCCTACCACCCCCTCCCCGTCCGACGCGCCTTGATGTCTCATACACACTGTTGAGGTGGACTAGGTTTCATATACCCTCCCCCCTCCC